GTTTGAAGTCGGTGTGGAGTCGGTGTGGAGTCAGTGTGAAGTTGATGTGGAGTCGTTTGAAGTCGGTGTGAAGTCGGGGTGCAGTCGGTGTGGAGTCGATGTTGAATCGTTTGAAGTCGGTGTGGAGTCGGTGTGAAGTCGGTGTGGAGTCGGTGTGGAGTCGATGTGAATTCGGCTTGGCGGTGTGAGTGAGGTATGACGCAACCAGAGACTGTCAGAGTTAGGATTTGGTCAAGGGTTTATGTCATCGTGTTTCAAGTGTCAAATGCGAGTCTATATGTCTGTGGTGGTAGACTGTGTATAGCCATTCGCTCAGGGTCAATATGCTGCTACGACCATCTTGACCTTCTCCAAAAAACAAACAACAACAAAAAAAATCACGAAAATGATATGATATCCATCACACATTGAAGTATGGATTGGTTATTTGATGTGTCCGTTCTCTAACACATCACTAGCTGCCACGGGATAATTCGACCATGTGGGTCCATGATTGTATGAAAGCAGAAAATAAGATATTAAAGGTAATACAAAGTTTTGGTATGGGGTCATGAATTTCATTCAAATGAACATATTGGAAGCATATGCGATCCTACAATATTCAGTGATCGTTGTCGCGGTTGAAATCGAGTATAAAATTATGAATTTGTAAATAATAAACTCTTTATGTTGTATAGCTCCCTCTCAAGGTCAAGGTATCAATTAAGCTATAAAACAATGTTTCTTGACTAAAATCGACCGATTAGCTATTCCTGTTGGGAAATTATATATCTCAACTACATATTCTGAGATTTTCATAGTCGCAGCTACCATTGTACGGCCGTACGCAATATTTGAATTTATTGAAAATTTACCGGGAGCACCGGTAAATCGTTATATTCAATTGTTCTCGAAAGCAGACGTGTTTTAGAGGCTAAATTTCCCAGTGCTTGTAATGCATCCAAATATATCACAATTGTATAGAATCACTATCCACCCAATTTTCAAAATGTCCCAAAACTTTGTATTACCTTTAAACATGATGGCGAAACTTTGACATAAATAGGATGAATAATAATATGATAGTTATGAATGTTTGAATTATAAGATCACTATACAATTCCCAAATTGGCAGTTTGAGCAGTGGATTGATGTGTAGTCGCGGATAACTCTCGTTTTCGTGTACAACAATATCATTAATTTCTGTTTTTCTCCTACATGTAATAGTGCCTTCTTCCTTGATGCACTACTCAAAATCCATTATGGATTTCATATTATTACATGTCCTTTAGAGAGAATAGACCCTCCGAAGTCATGCATTTTTGACAAATTGAAATTTTAGTCATTAATTTTGGTGTGTTGGAACAAATGGAAAACTCGTTCGCCTCTACATCACAGAGACTTATTTACCGATTCACCCAATATCTATAGAGCCCATACCTGTAATGATTACAACTTTAAACAAAAAAATCATAACTTTCTAATTTTTTTGTCCGATCTCATTCAAACTTTCACCAGTCTACTTTTATGATTTTTCTGCTTTCCTCTCGAGTAGTTTGCTATCATGGTTGGATTTATAACGTGTTGGTCATATAATGATACGAGTGGAGGAACCCTCGTGATTTTTGAAGGTTCTACTTTCAACCTCAGATCGTAACACTGATCACAGTATTGTCCACATGTATAATATGATTCCACACCCCTTACCCTCATTTCCCTTCTCCCACACAACCAATCTCTAATTCAACTATGTGATTTATTTGCCTTTTATTTCCCCTGGTCATTTTCAAAAGAATTTTGATTTCAATTTCATCTAAAATGTCGTCATGAATAACAAAAATAAAATTTACTCATAAGAAAAGTATTTTTGTTTCGTCCTTTATATTATACAGAAAAGAACATGCCTTATATTGCAGCTGATATTTTTTCCACTGGTTCATTGATTAAAACAAAAAATGTTTATGTTCTCTTTCGTCACTAGTATTCCGAAATAAAGAGCAATCCAACGAAATGAAAGCAGATGAAAAATACAGGATTGTGAATGTTTAAAAGAAATTGGACAAATAATAAGCATGACAAGAACGTTATAAAATTAAAAGATTATCTCATTCACGTGTTCAAAGACAACTCACCCGTTCGTTGCATAATCATTATATAGGAGTATATTCTCCGCCACTATATCACAATGACTAAACCGATTCGGCCATCGTGAAATTCCTATATACGTATACTGTACGTTGGCTTATAATAATTACCAGTGCGGTATAGTTACAAAGCATCACTTTATCATTGTTTTCCAATTTTTCTTAAACGTCTAAGCCTTTCCTCTCGTATATCTGCTTTCATTTAGCATGTTCAGAACAACTTAATGAAGACCCCCCCCCCCCCACACACACACACACACACACATTCTTCCAGGGGGAAGGGGGAGAAAGAAAGAAAGACAGGGCAGCACACTTGTTTTAATGCTGTAATGCTTCTGCTATAAATTCTTGTTTTGATGATGTTGTTCTTAGAACTAAGCCTAGCAAACCGTTACTATTTTCAATGACGTTCAACTTGTCCGTTATGACATGCGATATGACGACAAGGGTTATATCAGATGATCATAATATCCATCAAGTATTAAATGACAAATAGCGGTCTTGAATAATAGAAAACCAGTGTCCAGGTACGCTTCTAGGACAGTCAGAAGGACTGACGCTATATTTTTTTCTGACATAATTGTCTTTAAGCAATAATTCAGTAACCCGCATGCTTTCACCGCCATATTGTGTCTGCGTGTTGTCTGTATGTGACGGGGTTGAACAAATGTTGCCAGGAATATCATTTCATGCATTTTTGTTACTCAATAAGCTCACAGGAATTTATTGTTTCCGTAATTTTTAACGCACTTTTAGCTAATATCATTTTGTGCTGTGTTTATTTTTTATTTTTCAAAAGGGGCCCGCCACCGCCTGCCTCCTCCTCCCCCCCCCCCAATCTACCTATGGATATCTTTGTCTGTCCTATAGCTACAAGTGATCCTTTCTCTGGCTTAGATATATAACCTCTGTACCAATCTGGACAGAAATAACGAGAAAAAAAATAACATACGGCACTTTTGTCTTTTGCTAGGACATTTACCTAAATGTACCACTTTACATCCAGGTGAAGTAAATAGATATTTACATTTTGTTGTCACATCAAGAATGATATGAGTACATGTCGACTAAATCGGCTATATCAAAGATTCCACTACCCCTGTTTGGGGCAAACAAAGATTGAAAATCAAATAGTTAGGAACCAATAAGTTTAAGTGAAATTAAGTTTTCGTACGAACTGTGTACAAACTTCTAATATCTAGTTTACATAGTGACGTTTCAAATTAAATGCTAAGTAAAATGTTTTTCAGTCAGTTTCATAAGATTGGTGTACTTTCCTTTCATGTATTTGCGTAGGATGATCCGGGATGATCTTTTCTAAATCACTGCATGCAAGGATAAGTTAAAGAGATCGACAAATGAGCTATCCAAGGATTAAGTCGATTACTTTATCGAGATAAATAGAAAGTTTTGTGCTAAAGCGTGCTATGATATAAATAAGTCTTCAATCCTTACCAATTACTTACATCAAATATGAGCTCTCACGTGTTCTCGGAGCACGTGACTTTCTTCCTGTCGGACTTTGTCTAGATGCATATTATGCTTATTGTAGTTCTATAACAATCTAGTTCGTGGGAGCACTGAGGTTTATTGGTGCAGGTCCTGGGTTCGATTCTTGCTTGGTGTTTACATCCTAGGACAGTTTTGACCTAAAGTTGTCTGAGGTGTATCAAGTATCAGGTAATACTAGGGGTGTTAATGATTGCAGGGTCCGCTGGAAGAGCAGATATGATACTGACATGACTTTCCTGGATAGAGGTGTTGTGGACTAGTGGATAAGTCACCCGACTGCAGATCACAAGGTACGGGGTTCAAGTCCCGCCGCGGCACTATATCCTTTGGCAAGACGTTAATCTACATTTGCCACTCTCTACCCAGGTGTAAATGGGTACCTCGGAATAGAATTTCTAGATAAACGGCGCTATAGAAATGCATCTAAAGCTTGATCTGTTGAAATTATTTGTCATTTGTTAGGCATTCCACTTGCATTGTTTGAGCGGAAAATTCCAGATAGATGGTAGATAGAGAAATTTAATGAGGACAAAAAAAGCCAAGAAAAAAAAATACCCGAGATTAATTCCATCTCGGGGCCCAAGATGGAATTAATCTCAGTCAACCGTTGCTCATAGGCTCAGCACAATAATATGGAATTATACGTGATAAATAACTTTTGTTTAATTGCTCACAAAAGCAATTCCAAAATGGCTCTTTCTTTGTATCAGCCGGTTACCTTTGCACACACAGACGTGCATAATTATGTAAATTTACCCTGAATATGCAATCAGGTTTATGACCCCAGACGTGGGTGAGTAAACTCTTTTTTCATCAGCAACTTTGTTTTCATTTCCACACGTGGAAGTGTTAGTTTCGTTGCATAAACTATCATAAAATAGGATAAATAAAAGTGTGCATCATTATGCCATGCTTATTCTTGGTATTGTTAGAGAGACTAGAAAGGAACAACAAAAACACTCATATCAGATCGTATAAGAGTATAGTTTATATATTCATATTAACTGTGATTTATTGAAGCATATTGATGCATTCCATAATATTTCCTATTTGTTTGTGAACAATGGCATAGAATTTCCAGAAAATGCAAATGTAATCTATGCATAAATAGTACATGTAGAATTATTTTATATTTACACATGACACATTATGAGAGTTTTACATACTGTATAATTTGATGATTGAATTAATAATTTTTATGAAACCAAAGAATATAAATATATATTGTAATGCTTTGTCTTGTTAACTATTTTGATGTAATACAACATGCTCAGCTGAAACATAAATTGAAATTTACTAGTGTCAATGGTTTTATTTCCAGTGAAATGAGCTTCTTCTTCATACTTTATTTTTGAAATATTAGTAATGATTACATTAATCTTACCTCAACTTCTCATCCACCCTACCTCTCCGTCATCCTACCTATATTACCACTTTACATCTACTACCATCCTACCTCTACCCCCATCCTACCTCTATACCGCCATCCTACATGTACCGATATCCTACCTCTACTACAACTCTCCATCTACTACCACCTTACATCTACTACCATCCTACCTCTACCGCCATCCTACCTCTTTTACCATCCTACATCATCTATCATCCTACCTCACCCGCCACCCTACCCCTGCCGACACCTCTGCCACCACCCTTCCTCTGTCACCACCCTTCCTATGCCACCACCTTGCCTCTACCACCATCTCTCCTCTCCGACAACACTACCTCTGCCACCAACCGTCCTCTACCACCACTCTACCTCTGCCACCACCCTTCCTCTACCGCCACCCTGCCTCTGCCACCATCCTGCATCCACCACCACCGCCCTTCGTCTACCACCATCTCTCCTCTCTGACCATCTCTCCTCTCCGAAAATTCTACCTCTTCTACCGCCTTTTCTCTTATACCACTACCTCTATACGACCACCCTACATTTACTACCTCTTCTACCACCACTCTGCCTCTTCTACCATCACACTTCCTCTACCATTACCCTTCCTCTATCAATACCCTTTTTAGACAAAGTTTATTTAACCATAAAATGAAACATGTACATGCAAATGAGTAACATAGTAAACATAATACGGTAAAGGACAACCTTAGAAGCAAATTGCTTGTGGTGGGGCCTTAAAAAAAAAAAAAAAAACTACACATAAATTATACAGTTTAAAAACTTTAAAATAACATGATACAAACACACATGCACGCTCACACATATACATACACACATTCAAAATATCCTCCTCTGCTCAAACTTGTTTACATAAATCATTAAATAATAACAGTGTACATCGTACTTTAAATCGAGATAGAGTTGTACTTTCCTCAATATCATTACTCAACTTAACATAAATATGCGAGTATTAAACTGAATCAATTCAAAAATTGGGACTACGTGTGTTTTAACAAAAAGTGACCGTGATGGGGCTAAATAATCAGATTTAGTAACAATACGCACGGCTCGTTTCTGTAACAAATAAATCTTATCTATATATGATGCATAATGATGCATTCCTCTGTTACCATCATAGAATCATTCGTGGATGTGATTTTGTAAACATAATCACCCAAATTTATTTCATTCAATTGAAATAATGATTATTTGTGTTTGTTTTCTGCACCACGTGACTTTAAAACTTCACTTGTAGTGTCGTCAAATGTCACTGTTTTCAAAGTCCCATTAATCCTCTCATTGGCGTAATGAGATATCAGACATGAGGTCGATGCATTATCTCATTCTGAATAGAGAGAGTAGTAGAGGAGGGGAGGGGGAGGGGGAGGGAGTCAGAATACGGACAGACACACAGAGACGGATACAGAAAGAGAGAGAGAGAGAGAGAGAGACCATAGTGAAATGAACTATAATTGTACTCTATGAATTAATGATGCTGAAAAACAAGCCATGATTCTATTTTCCACGCTCCGTAGCATCTGGATCGCTTATCCACACCTTTTCATTTCCACATCTGTCTATTTCACGAGTGGAAAACAAAAAACCAAGACCATCGGATCACCAGACCAACGCGTTCTCATCGCACCTTTGTAATTAAACATTTATTTAACGCCTTAGCAGCACGATTTTTGTATTGTTGCGACATTCAGCGATTGTACCACTGATCTATGATTTTGATAATAATGTTTATGCACATGTATCAGCCTAGGTTGTTCACATGTGTAGTCCATTCAAAATATGATAAAACCCAAAATAAATTTCATTTCAACTTCATTTATTTGAGAATAGCTCCAGTAAATAACATATTACAAACTCAAAATTCGAAGTTATGGAGAAATAAATAATTTGAAAATTCAAAATGGCGGCCATTTTGAATTTATTGACTTATCTGGGAATCAAATGGATTAATAAATTACCCCAAAACCAATCAGATAGTTTCCCATATTGACTGCATTTACCTAGGAATAGCTCTCATAACAACATAATAACAGTTTCGGAATATTGGAGCTCTGATACAATTTCTACTTTGCATAATTATTTCCTTATAAAATACGATGTAGCTTAATAAAGCAAATAGATAAAATTGTCCATATAACCTGTATTTACTTACTAGGGATAACTCCCATAACATTTACTACAAATGTAGGAAAATGAATGCTGTGAAACAATATTTAATTGGCATAAAGTTAAAAATGTTCGCCATTTAAACATCGTTTTGTCTGATATCCGGATCAGAGACTCATATAATTACCCCCAAAACAAATCGGATAGTTGTTTTCCACATTGAATGCATTTCCTTATGAATAGCTCCCATAACAACAAACAAACAGTTTATGAAAAATTGAGATATGAACAATGTCTAATTTGCATAAATTCAAAATGGCCGCCATGCAAAGACCGTTTCCCTGATCTCCGTATCATAGACTCATATAACCCAATAAATAAGTTGGAGCTTTGAAATAATGTCTACTTTACATTTGAAGTGAATGTCTTAACGTCAGAATGAAGTTTTTTTAATTGACCATTCATGTTTGACGCGGGTTTTGGGGCGGTTTATTGAATTAAATTTGATTTTTTTTTTCATGTGTAAATGAATAGGAAGTGGAGATGAAAAGGGGTACGCGCATGAAAAAAGGTCTATACGGAGACTCCCTATATGTGGGTTATACTTACGTTATTATAATATACATGTATCATGTTTAAAAATGCCTTAGTTACAACTTCATGTTTCAACGTCAACGAGCTTTAAGTTCCAGTTTCTGAAATGTTCTTCATTGGTAAATTTATGCAACTTAGGTATGAAAAAAAGGACCTAATGTAAAATAACAATCATCCTGATCATTGACCCTAAAAACAAGGTTCTACACATCAGAAAATAGACCTCAGGAGTATCAGATACGGTTTATTCAAATTGTACATTAATTATGTGGCGTCCATTAAGATATTCGAATTGTGCATGTACATGTATATGACGTCTATTCTGACATTATGCAAATTAGGTGCAGTTGAAAGCGCCATGTTATAAATATTATTATTTTCATATTACTTGACCCTGAAAACGTGGGTATAGACACCACAATAAAGGTTTCAGATCCAGCGATATGACCCCCGAAACAGTGGATGGCGGCCATTTTGAATTTATTCAAATTAGGCATTGTTCCACAATTTCGATTTTCCTAAACCATGAAATTATTTTCTTATGAGCTTTTCCAAATGCAGGTAAGTTCAGGAAATGTGTTTTTGGTTTACACCTTTTTCCATATCTTGACTGGACTAATGGTAGCCCGATTCATTACACAAAATTAAGTGTTAAGTGTATTTGCATGTAAACAAATTAATAATTAAAGGGGAAGTCCCCTCTGATAATTTTAATAGAGGCACAACAAAGAGCGGAGCAGGTCAGTGAAAGTTGGAGCAAATTATCAAAAATAAGAAAGTTATGGATTTTTGAAGTTGCGATCAATCGAACAAAAATTGGCATCTCTGTGACGTTACTTGCGAGCTCCCCTCCCATTTTGCTCTAGCTGTACTAAAACAAATTATGAATTTTTCTTTCCCTAAAAAAAAAAATGAAAATATGTTTCTATTCAAATTATTCATGAGCATAACAGAATGATTGTCAATAATAATGGTTATTCAGACAAAACTTTATAAACAAATGTCAAGTGGACATGGGTGTCGATCCTTACGTAATACCTATTCATCAGGGGGATGAATGAATAGATCATCCCCCCTGATGAATAGGTATCAGTTATGGATCGACACCCATGCAAGTGGAGGCAGAGGAAGCTAGACTGGGAGACCAAATCAGCCAGTTCCCGAAACTTGAGGTACAGATTTTGTTCCATTTTAAAAATTGTATTTAGCATGATCATTTTTCTTTTCCTCGTGTGTCTATCTGACTTTTTTTTAACTCTTTCTCTCCCTTACAACTTTTCTCTTTCTTTCTATCACAATTTCTTCCTCTCCCCCTCTCCCTCTCTTCCTCTAACATTTACATCTCTCTCTCTCCCTCTCTCTCTCTCTCTCTCCCTCTCTCTCGCTCTCTCTCTCTCTCTCCTCTTCCTCTCGATCTCCCAGTCAAGGGTAGTTAGTGATCAAGTCCGACATCTTGATATCGAATCATTAGCCTGCGTGTCATCAGAAATTATCTGCCTAGTCAGCCCGGTATGACCGATATGTTGACTTCAATACCAGATGCTAACATTCTCTTATATTTCTTCAATTTTCAATTTCATTTTCAAAGTGGTTAGTTTTAACAGCGACTATTAAAATGAAATTACATTAAAGAAATATGCTGCACATGTTCTAGTCACATACTCATGTGGGTCATAATTAGTTTTATGTTCCTAACTAATTCCTTGTACATGAAATGTGATTCAAAGGTCATTAAAAACATTATTTTCATAAAATTTAATAGACATAACATGGGTTTCTACTTGAAATATAGTCATTCACTGTTTTATATTAAAAAACAAGAAAAGATTTGGCAACGAAACCAGCAAACTTCAAGAAGACTAGCGAAGATGAGTAAAAAAAAAAAAAAAAAAAAAACAGGCTAACACCGCATATCGTATGAAGGATGAAAGTGTATTCGAGAACTTTCTTCCAAATCTTTCAATCTGTAATGAAAATAAAGAGAACATACATTGTGTAGTACAATACTCATCAACGTTTCATATCTTCTTTTTTGACAATAAACACATATGACCCCATTAAATTACAGTTGTCTTGTGTAATTTCTGTCATAACTAGGTGAATCATCATGCTTACATAAGTATTCTGCATAATAAAATGCGGTAACTAATAATATAGTTGTTTGCAAACTTCTTTAAAGTGCTTTCTTTGTAAAGCTTCATTTAATGCAAGTGTACCCTAAAATACCTGTGAGCAACATAAGGTGACACTCATGTGAAAAGACAAAAAAAAAGTATTTTGTAATATACAATCACGTGTCATTGTGCTACTGCTGTCTTATCTAACTCATGTTTGACCTCTTCAAACTAGACCCCGACTCAACCTAGCATTTGATTGCATAAATAGTATATGGCTGCTCATGAATATGTATGTGCTTATGTAGTTCTTAAACTTATATAACCTCTATAACAATATTCAAATATTGTTGGTGTTTTTTTAGTGTATTATTTGGCCGAACTAAATTCTTAATAAAAACACGCTTTTAAATACTGCATAATTGGCATTTGAAATCTTTTTATAATGTCTGTCAAATTTATGACAATTATCTCACTTTGCATATTCTCAGTTTCCTTTCTGAATCACCAAATTACATGCCTTGACTGCTACATCGTTTTTGCTCCAAAAGCATGACTAACAATTGATTTAATCAGATACATTTAACTCAATGCAATGAACATTGACCTACACTCTGAGCAAAGTAAATATGATTAATACATGCACATCGCAGCTTTTCACTTGTAAGAACCTCTCTGAATTTTCAGGCTCTAAATTGACAACCTTTCTTGCAGTTTCCTAATAATGTTGACAGAACCTAAATTTGACTTTAAAATACATCTTGTGCCAAAATTCGTTACAGTTTAATCATGTA